TCAATTTAAATGCGTTTTAACGAAGTTATAAGCGATTTAAGTGTTATCAAGTTTCTGGGCCAAAAAATCTATTGTTGAAGGAAAGTATGGGTGATCACAAAATAAGCTTCTTTTCCATTTTAAATGCGTTTTAACGAAGTTATAAGCGATTTAAGTTTTATCAGGATTCTCGGCCAAAAAACCGATTTTTGAAGGAAAGTATGGGTGTTCACAAAATAAGCTTCTTTTTCAATTTAAATGCGTTTTAACGAAGTTATAAGCGATTTACGTTTTATCAAGATTCTCGGCCAAAAAATCTAGTTTTGAAGGAAAGTATGGGTGATCACAAGATAAGCTTCTTTTTCAATTTAAATGCGTTTTAACGAAGTTATAAGCGATTTAAGTTTTATCAAGTTTCTGGGCCAAAAAATCGATTTTTGAAGGAAAGTATAAGTGATCACAAAATAAGCTTCTTTTTCAATTTAAATGCGTTTTAACGAAGTTATAAGCGATTTAAGTTTTCTCAAGTTTCTGGGCCAAAAAATCGATTTTTGAAGGAAAGTATGGGTGATCACAAAATAAGCTTCTTTTTCAATTTAAATGCGTTTTAACGAAGTTATAAGCGATTTAAGGTTTATCAAGTTTCTGGGCCAAAAAATCGATTTTTCAAGGAAAGTATAGGTGATCACAAAATAAGCTTCTTTTTCAATTTAAATGCGTTTTAACGAAGTTATAAGCGATTTAAGTTTTATCAAGTTTCTGGGCCAAAAAATCGATTTTTCAAGGAAAGTATAGGTGATCACAAAATAAGCTTATTTTTCAATTTAAATACGTTTTAACGAAGTTATAAGCGATTTAAGTGTTATCAAGTTTCTGGGCCAAAAAATCTATTTTTGAAGGAAAGTATGGGTGATCACAAAATAAGCTTATTTTTCAATTTAAACGCGTTTTAACGAAGTTATAAGCGATTTAAGTTTTAAGCGATTTAGTTTCTGGGCCAAAAAATCTATTTTTAAAGGAAAGTATGGGTGATCACAAAATAAGCTTCTTTTTCAATTTAAACGCGTTTTAACGAAGTTATAAGCGATTTAAGTTTTATCAAGATTCTCGGCCAAAAAATCGATTTTTGAAGGAAAGTATGGGTGATCACAAAATAAGCTTATTTTTCAATTTAAATGCGTTTTAACGAAGTTATAAGCGATTTAAGTTTTATCAAGTTTCTGGGACAAAAAATCGATTTTTGAAGGAGAGTATAGGTGATCACAAAATAAGCTTCTTTTTCAATTTAAATGCGTTTTAACAAAGTACGGGTGATCACAAAATAAGCTTCTTTTCCATTTTAAATGCGTTTTAACGAAGTTATAAGCGATTTAAGTTTTATCAAGTTTCTGGGCCAAAAAATCGATTTTTGAAGGAAAGTATGGGTGATCACAAAATAAGCTTCTTTTTCAATTTAAATGCGTTTTAACGAAGTTATAAGCGATTTAAGTTTTATCAACATTCTCGGCCAAAAAATCGATTTTTGAAGGAAAGTATGGGTGATCACAAAATAAGCTTCTTTTTAAATTTAAATGCGTTTTAACGAAGTTATAAGCGATTTAAATTTTATCAAGATTCTCGGTCAAAAAATCGATTTTTGAAGGAAAGTATGGGCGATCACAAAATAATGCGTTTTAACGAAGTTATAAGCGATTTAAGTTTTATAAAGATTCTCGGCCAAAAAATCGATTTTTGAAGGAAAGTATGGGTGATCACAAAATAAGCTTCTTTTTCAATTTAAATGCGTTTTAACGAAATTATAAGCGATTTAAGTTTTATCAAGTTTCTGGGCCAAAAAATCTATTTTTGAAGGAAAGTATGGCTGATCACAAAATAAGCTTATTTTTCAATTTAAATACGTTTTAACGAAGTTATAAGCGATTTAAGTTTTATCAAGTTTCTGGGCCAAAAAATCGATTTTTGAAGGAAAGTATGGGTGATCACAAAATAAGCTTCTTTTTCAATTTAAATGCGTTTTAACGAAGTTATAAGCGATTTTAGTTTCATCAAGTTTCTGGGCCAAAAAATCGATTTTTAAAGGAAAGTATGGGTGATCACAAAATAAGCTTCTTTTTCAATTTAAATGCGTTTTAACGAAATTATAAGCGATTTAAGTTTTATCAAGTTTCTGGGCCAAAAAATCTATTTTTGAAGGAAAGTATGGGTGATCACAAAATAAGCTTCTTTTTCAATTTAAATGCGTTTTAACGAAATTATAAGCGATTTAAGTTTTATCAAGTTTCTGGGCCAAAAAATCGATTTTTGAAGGAAAGTATGGGTGATCACAAAATAAGCTTCTTTTTCAATTTAAATGCGTTTTAACGAAATTATAAGCGATTTAAGTTTTATCAAGTTTCTGGGCCAAAAAATCTATTTTTGAAGGAAAGTATGGCTGATCACAAAATAAGCTTATTTTTCAATTTAAATACGTTTTAACGAAGTTATAAGCGATTTAAGTTTTATCAAGATTCTCGGTCAAAAAATCGATTTTTGAAGGAAAGTATGGGCGATCACAAAATAATGCGTTTTAACGAAGTTATAAGCGATTTAAGTTTTATAAAGATTCTCGGCCAAAAAATCGATTTTTGAAGGAAAGTATGGGTGATCACAAAATAAGCTTCTTTTTCAATTTAAATGCGTTTTAACGAAGTTATAAGCGATTTAAGTTTTATCAAGATTCTGGGCCAAAAAATCTATTTTTGAAGGAAAGTATGGGTGATCACAAAATAAGCTTATTTTTCAATTTAAACGCGTTTTAACGAAGTTATTAACGATTTAAGTTTTATCAAGATTCTCGGCCAAAAAATCGATTTTTGAAGGAAAGTATGGGTGATCACAAAATAAGCTTCTTTTTCAATTTAAATGCGTTTTAACGAAGTTATAAGCGATTTAAGTTTTATCAAGTTTCTGGGCCAAAAATTCGATTTTTAAGGAAAGTATGGGTGATCACAAAATAAGCTTCTTTTACAATTTAAATGCGTTTTAACGAAGTTATAAGCGATTACAAGTTACTCGGTAAAAAAATCGATTTTGGATTTTTAGTTGATCATAAAATTATATTATTTTCCAAGCTCCATTTTCAATTTAAATGTGTCTTCTATGAAGAAATCCGCTATAATTCGAAACTATACTGTTTAATAGATTTTAAGATTTTTCATGTTCATTTCAACAAACTCCAAAATGAACTGTTTGCTAAAATAAAACATTTTAATAGATGAATAAGAATATATTTGCATACATATGTGCTACACGTATACATACATATGTATGTATAACATTTACATACATATGTATTTATATGTAAAAATATTTTAAACATGTGTGTATTATTCCGGATAAAAACTAAATAAACAAAACAGATTTTCTTACAACAAACATGTGTGTAAATTCAGTTTCATGCAATGAATTTATTATAGTTCAGAATGAATATCAACAAGTAAAAGTTAGGTATCCGACTTATATGTACCCCTATATATTATCTATTATCTATCTATCTATCTATCTATCTATCTATCTATCTATCTATCTATCTATCTCTATCTATCTATCTATCTATCTATCTATCTATCTATCTATCTATCTATCTATCTATCTATCTATCATCTATCTATCTATCTATCTATCTATCTATCTATCTATCTATCTATCTATCTATCTATCTATCTATCGATCTATCTATCTATCTATCTATCTACTATCTATCTATCTATCATCTATCTATCTATCTATCTATCTATCTACCTATCTAGCTATCTATCTATCTATTTATCTATGTACGTATCTTCTATCTAACTATCTATCTATATATCTATCTATCTATCTATCTATCTATCTATCTATCTATCTATCATCTATCTATCTATCTATCTATCTATCTATCTATCTATCTATCTATCTATCTATCTATATATCTATCTATCTATCTATCTATCTACCTATCTATCTATGTTTCTATCTATCTATCTATCTATCTATCTATCTATCTATCTATCTATCTATCTATCTATCTATCTATCTATCTATCTATCTATCTATCTATCTATCTATCTGTCTATCTACCTATCTATCTATGTATCTATCTATCTATCTATCTATCTATCTATCTATCTATCTATCTATCTATCTATCTATCTATCTATCTATCTATCTATCTATCTATCTATCTATCTATCTATCTATCTATCTATCTATCTATCTATCTATCTATCTATCTATCTATCTATCTATCTATCTATCTATCTATATATCTATATACCTATCTATCTATCTATGTATGTATGTATGTATGTATCTATCTATCTATCTATCTATCTATCTATCTATCTATCTATCTATCTATCTATCTATCTATCTATCTATCTATCTATCTATCTATCTATCTATCTATCTATCTATCTATCTATCTATCTATCTATTTATCTATCTATCTATCTATCTATCTATATCTATCTATCTATCTATCTATCTATCTATCTATCTATCTATCTATCTATCTATCTATCTATCTATCTATCTATCTATCTACCTATCTATCTATGTATCTATCTATCTATCTATCTATCTATCTATCTATCTATCTATCTATCTATCTATCTATCTATCTATCTATCTATCTATCTATCTATCTATCTATCTATCTATCTATATATCTATCTATCTAAACAGTCTTTGCTGAATATCTAGGAAACAGTTTAGCACAAGTTCTGTTATCTGTACCATACGTAGCTCAGATTAAAATGAGAGGAGCCAGGGTTATGGGAGTGCGACTTCTCATTTTTTGTTTTTATCATATAATAATTTACACTTCAAAATGATGTGTCAAGCCCAATGATAAATTTAATATTTGCCCCTACATTTTACACACACAGCTTCATTTTATAAAGTAAAACATGAGCCATATGTATTTGAACGATGTAGGGGCATATACAGTTTATCCAGACTTCTCGATGTCCAGACTGCAGAAACATTATTTAGTTTTGTATAGACTATTGACGCTACAACTACTATATTTCTTTTAATTTCTTAAAGTTCTTAAAAAAAATCATTTTTATAAACAATCTCTAAAAAAAAATGAAACGACCATTAAAACGTTGCAATATCAAAAGTACTTCCTTAGTTATAAGTGTACTATTGTTGTTATATTTAGTTTTCTCTAGTGGTTATCATAAATACGAAATAGATGGTGTTATCAAAAATTCTAGACCGGAAGATGTTTGGAATTATGTGGCTGATTTCAGTAAAATGAGACTATTAAATCCTACTATGTAAGAAATGTGTTCTATGTTAATTTGTGTATGAAATTTGAATGTGTATTTCATTTTTTTTTTTTTTGCAGTTTAAATTTTAGAATTTTATCGGATAGTGGTCATACACATGATTGGCGTTATACTGTTGAATATACAGAACGTTTGTCTCATTGGCCATATTGGGCAAATACAGCTAGAGCCAATTATATTGTTGTTAAATCATTGCCACAAGTCAAACCCGTAGTGTATTCCATAAAGTCCAAACATGAAACATGCTTTTTTAAAGGCCTATACTGTTGTAAGTATAAACAAATTATTGAAATATGATCATTATTTGAAAAAAATCCATATAAAATGAGCTAAATGTTGTTTTTCTCTCTCGATTATGTTCTCTAGCAAAAAATAGTTGTTAAATCTAAAAAATATATATAAAATATGACTAAATTTAGGAATTTGTTTCGAAAAGAATCGATGTATAACAGATTTTTGCTGACGAGTCCTCTTTCAACCACATAAGTGTTATCTTTTTGATAAAAATTGTAATTTCATTGAATATAGTTTGAGTTTTCATAATGAGCGGAAGGTAGTTTCGTATGCGGGTAACGTCGATATAGTGAATAATAAAAGATAATCTGTGAAATCTGGCAAAAGCATAGTTAGTCGAAAAACGTATAATGAAATAGGTTTTATAGAAAGTATTGAAATGAAAGGTAAAGTACTGAACCGAAGTACTTGGGTACCTTTCCTTTTAGGATTTATCATTAAAGATAATCACTGTTGAAAGTCGCGGGTGTGCAATTTTTCCTTGCAGAATGATATACAAAGGTATCTCGCGCTATCGGGGTTGAAATTAAAACGGCGATTTACCAGAATTATTGGATTTGGAAGCATGCTAAAATCGGTCAAGTCTCTATTTCGTTTTATGCTCAAATATAATCCTGCCCTATATTCGATTTACTTTAAGAACGAAGGCTGGCTAATCCAGGATGTGTAAAGTAGGTTTAATCTTCTATATCTCCTGGTTTAGAAAAGCATATGAAGGTGTTCAGGTTATTCTGACATATCCGGTAATAATGCAGATCTATTTATAACGTAAATTGACTTTGATTGTTGGAGTTCTCACGAGAATATCTAACATTATTGTATACTAGGTGCACTTCCTATGAGATTAAATCTGAGTTTAAATGATTTCTGTAGAAGTTGTTACAATGAAGATGACGATCTGGTTTAGCTTTATATTCCTACCTTTTTTGCACGACTTAACTTACCAGATGACGGGTTGTTCCGATGTCGAACATTTACATATTCATACTTTTTCTGTATGGTGGGTCGAGGTATGATACGTTTCGGACAACATAAAGACGATGGTTCCAAAATAGGTGGTAATTCAATGTTACATGGATTATTCCATGATAGTAAGGGACTGTAAGCTCTGATAGTAACTGTCTGGGTACCAAATTTTCGGAATTAACGATTCTGAAGTAAAATTTTTGATTTACTTTATTGTAGAATGATTTTCAAGACATCATCAACTCTTCTTAAAATAATGAAACAGACAGCAAAATTTCTAAGACCACATATTCAAAGCTCGACGCTTGAGATAAAGCAGTGAAATCAAAACCTTGTATTGCTGATACTAGTTAAAAAAATGTATTTACCTGTAAAGGGGACAATGAAACAACGGATTTTTTAAGACTATGTGAGGATGCCGAAAAGTTAGAGACAATAGAACACGTTCTCAGTTACTGCCAATAATATAGGTAGGATAAAAGGCTGGAAGGTTTAGACTAATTTGCTCAAATTCAAATTCAATAATTTAACTATGGAATTGGTGGGTGAGGACCCTTACCGCAAGCTTGTCATACATTGAGGACGTCTCTGTCCTAACCTAAGCTGTATCAGAACTACATCTTGTTTTCATTAGCGCCTTTTATAGGCTGTGGAATATATTCATGCGAACGCTGTATCAATGACATTAACAGATACTTTATACGAATTTCCTAAACACATCTCTGTATGTTCTACAGAAATTCCATACTGAAATATGCAACCAATAGCCTGATGTTAAAGGTGGAATGACACCTCGGTTGACATTACAGGAGAAACTGTTTGGTTAGCATAATGTTGTGTTTCCTGATAGGGAGGTTCTTTGTTTCCTCGTGTAGATAATTTTTTGATCAGATAATCGAAAGTTTTGCTAAAGACTTCGCAAATATCATTAGATTTCAAGTAGCTTGTGTGAGCACATCGAAACAGAGTAATTTATACCTGACCGTTTAATTGGTTATATTCTCTTTACACAAGTTTCTGAAGACATCTTATGTCAAAGTAATCTATTTTTACTCCCTCTAAGCTAGCCGACTTATAAGTATCTTCAATGTTGTAAGACCTTTGAGTGGTACTCAACCATGAATTGAACTTGATAGTCTATGACGACTAAGATTTACCTCCTTCGTCCAGGTGGCGACAAGTTCTGTTCGAAACTTTCAGTTTACGTGAAGTAGGAAAGTTATTGAAACATTCACCATATTCGATAGGAAATCAACATTGTTACCCATCGTATGCATAGAAGATCACTTGCACAATTTGTGACGTTGCAAGGAGTCTTAAGAATTAGAAGTTTAAGGAGATATTGGATTCCACCCTGGAAAAAATTTTGTTTGACTATGTTGCGTTTGGAACGTTGATCTCTAAACTCTACAAAATAGTGGCGGACAATTAATATTAAATATTATGGATTGTTATAACCCAGACCCAAACCTTAGGCTAAGATATTTCTGTTATTTCAGTAGTTTGCTTCTAATGCCAATTTGAATATAACTGATGTTTGTGACCTTTGGCCTAAATGAAAGTACTTGACTTTAAGTCATAACTTTAGTAATTCCACCTTAGAAAGGGATATATAGAAAAATTCTTTGAAACTAAAAGTAAAAGAAGACGCTAATATACAGTGATAGACAATCGTTTGTACGCAACATGTTTTCTTTGATTTTTAAAGCCATTTATGGGTTTATTGTAAAACTTTTTTTAGAAAATGAATTGAATACACCATAGTTATTAAATAATAGAAAAATATTATAAAATATTTTTCTCTAATAAAAATATTAGAAAAAAAATTAATATTCGTTGAGACATTCGTTTGTCATGTCACGCAGTCATGTAATTATTACTTTTATGAGAATAATTGAATTCTTTTGAGCGAGTATTGGGGTTTAGATATAAAATTAATATATTTTATAGCCATACGAATTATAAAAATCTTTATAATGATATATTATTTGTAGAAATTGCGATTTGATCGCTGTCGAAGCTAAATTAGGAAATATTTTATCAAAGTGTCAAAATTTAGGATTATTTTGAACAAGACTATTTTATATTTCCTAATAGATACTCATGCTGTATTAAAAATAGCATAAAACTATGAAAAACTGTTGAAAAATTGCTTCCTTAATCGATTTTACGAGAGTAATGTTAAAAATTATGACACAAAATCCCTATTTTCTTAATGAAATAAAGACAAAAATTATACTCCTTGCAGTAAAAAGATCTATTATCATTCCTTTATCCTAGATTTAGTCATTACTGTGTTTTGAATTGCTTGTAAATCAAAATTTATTAAGATTCATAAGGAGAGAAAACTGCACTCTCCATAAGGCCCCATATCGGATATGAATAACTTCTAAAAGTTAATATTTTCAAGTGAAAATAAGTTAAACTTATATTGTCTGAGGCGTTACAATAACGTATTGTGCGAATTGAACCAAAACGCCGCTAAAAGTACAAATTACATTTCGATTGGGAAATTGTGGTGCATTAGACATGTTTCTTATACAAATTTCAGATTTCCATCGGAATTTTTTCACCCAAATTTAGATTTGGAATATTCTTTGATTTATTAGAAGATTGTTTAGCAGAAAAAATAATGAAAAATTGCGACTCGAGATACAATTTCTATCCAAAAATGGGTATTTGACAAGGGTTTTGGATTGATGACAAAGATTTTAATTCTCTTCCTTAACCAGGCGGAATTTTAAGACACAACCAATCAAAATCATTCTTAAAATCTTAGCTGAAAAGATTTGTAAACAAAAAAACGTAATTTTTTAGCATTTAAATAACATAAACATTTTTTTAAGCATGACCTTCGGAAATTCCTTTTGAAGCGCTTTAAAAATTGACCTAACCAAAATCTAATGAAATTTATTCTGTCAGTAACTAAATGTTATGATAAGAAAAAGACAAATTTACAAATTATTTTTATGGTTTTTATAAATTATGTAAAGTGCGTACAAACAAATGTCTCAGACAAATTTGATTTTTTTCTCTGGAATTGCTAATAGAGCCAAAAATATTACAATTTTATATTATTATTTTGTAACGAAGATAGTATCAAACTATTTCGCAAACTTTTTTTCTTAAAACACTATTTACTTTCTTTCAAAAGTTAAAAAAATATGTTGCGTACAAATGAATGTCTACCACTGTACTATAGAATTCAAAAAATTGTATTTGAACACAAAATTTATTATTACATTTGTATCAAAATATTATTTTTCTTTTAATTTTATAGTACATGCCGAAAGTGAATTTAATTTTGCTGCCCAGTCCAATAATACTTACTGCAGTGAGAAAATACACTATGAATGTCCCCCCTTCTTGAGCTCAGCCTGTAAACGTGAATTGGAATATCAACGTAAGGCGGTTATGCATAATCTCACCATAATATTTAGTAAAAAATATTAAATGTATACATATATCTAAATTTCCAACATAAGTATATATGTTTGTGTTTTATTTTTACTATAATAATATTTTTATTAAATTCAACAAAATATTTAAAGATAAAATTTTATATAATGATATAATAATGTATGTTTTTTTTTTATATTTTTATTTGTATGTATTTCAAAGTAAACAGCTTAATTTAGTAGAATTATGTATGTGTATTTAAGAAAAGTGAAAGAAAAAAATAATATAAAAATGTTTAAAATATATAATAATTATATGTAAAGTAAAAGTTGTTGTACAATTTAAAATCCAAATAAATATTTTTAATATTTTGTTTAGTTTCCCTTATTTATTTTTTTTTTGTTAAAGAAAGAAGAAGACTTTTGTGATTGCATAATAAATGAAAATTAAAACTACTTTTACTTGGTGTTTTTGTTTTTAATTCAAATTTTTTTTCTTAGTTAACAAAATAATTATGTAGATTGGTTTAATAAATTTTTATTTTATTTTATAGATTTAGTTTAATTTTAATAAAATCATAACGTTTTAGCGTTATTATTGCAATTATTTAAAGGTAGTTATGTTCATTTTAACAAATGTTTTACTTTTTTTTTTAAACATTTGATATGTTGTACGTTTTGAAAAATGAAGTCCGGGTTTAGAGTTAAAGAAATATATAAGATTTTATAATTAATAAGTTCCAAAGGTTACATTAACTAAGCTAATAACAAAAATAACATTTTAAAATTAATATTTAAATCATTTTTTACAAATTATATTGAAATTTTTATTATGAGAAACTTTTTCATAAATTTTTTTAATTTTGAACTTAAAAATTTTGAAAATTTAAAAGTTTTTGTCATAATTTTAAATTAGTTTTAATGTAGTTTCAGAATACATTATTATTAAGATATGTTCGAATATTCGAAATTTCGAACTTTTGTTTGAAAATTTGTTAAACAACATTTTAACTGCAATTGGAACTGTATTCATGGTTAAATCGAAAAAAAAAATAATTTAATTATTTATTTCTTTAATCCTAAACCCAATTTCATAAATATGTAATAGTAATTTTTGCTAAAAGAAAATTTTCTTGTTGGTGTTTAGAAAGAATAGAAAAGAAATAAGATTTCTAATGCAATTGCTTTGTTACCCGTTAACTAACCCCAATATTAATTAAAAAATACTAAAGGTTTAATAAAAGAAAATTTTTTAACAAATCTATGAGAAAACTTTAATTCAAATTTGCTTGGAATACCAATACTTGATCAAAGACTTTCTGTAATGTCCAAGTTTGAAGATAATTTTCTAAAAAATTTATTACAAATTGATTCTTTGTAAATTGTTTACCTGCACTTCCTAATAAAAACATTAAAATGACTTCTATGGAAGCCATTTCATAGCCATAATAAAGCGCAAACCTGAAAAAAGTTTAGTTGTGAAACTTTTTCTAAAGATTGTATTAAAGTCTCAAAAATATCCTTGGTTAATCCTGATTCCTTTAACTAACTAATTATAAACAAATCACTAATTAATGACCTTCTAAACACCAGCCTTTAATAATAAGAAGAAAATAATGAGAACTACTTATTAAAAGATAAATCTAGTCTACGTCTTTTAAGAATTCTTTTACCTGTTGTTGCTGTGGTCGCTGGTGGTGAGGATCTAGTCAAATCAACTTCTTCACTTACCGCTGGCACTTGATGTTGTTGTTGTTGTTGTTTGGTGGGTGTCTTTTTTGAATTCATTAACTTAGCTTTGGTCACTTGACTTGGTTGACGACTCAGTTCGGAAGGTTTTGTAAACCATTTAGTTAGTTTAGTAGCCTGTGTTGAATTACATTTACCTTTAGGTGATTTTTTAACATTCGAATTTTGTACGGCCGTTAACTGTTGATGACGCTTACTAGGAGTACCAGCCTCCATATTATTACCACTACAGCCTCCACTGTGACCACTATTGGGCGTTGCTGTTTCTTCTTGTGAGCCAGAGCTTCCATTTTGTGTGGCATTACCTATGAGATAATTGGTGATTTTATTGTGTTGTTTGTTTTGGGACTTTTGGGTTTGCGGTACGGGTGATATATCACCGTTGGAGTGTAAACGCATAACACTGCCAAAGGTGCCATTATTGGTGATTTCGAAGATTTCATCCTCCTGCAGGCCCGCTGAAGTAGAAGGCGTAGAATGACGTTTGCGTTTTTGTAGTTCTTGCTGTTGACGTGCCTCTGCTATGGCTTCTATGGGATGTGAGGGTAATATAGGAGCCTGGGATTTCTGTTTATTTGCCATGTTAGCATTACGTTTTGATTTTTTTGTGGGTGAGCTGCTAGCGCTATTAGACGTTTCATTTGTTGTGGTCTTTGATTTTTTATTAGAGGGTTCAAACATTTTTTCTAAAATATCTAAACAGCTACGCTGTTCTCGATAGGATTTCTTAGCACTAGCATTTGATATGTTGGTATTATTATTTTTAGAGAAAGCATAATGTTGCTGCAATTGCTTGACTTCTGAACCGAAAATTTTAAAACCTTCAAAGGGTGTATTAGGTTCTTCACTCTCCACAGGTGGTTGTGTACAGGGTAGCGGCAGTAAATCTGAGCAATTACTAAAGAGATCTGGTGATTTGGCACTTGTACGTGTATTCTGTTGGGCTAACAATTCCGAAAAACTGGGTACTTTACTGGCTTCGCTTTGGGTGTTTTGTAGATTACGTTTTGGTTTTAAGGCACGTGTTCTGCGGCTAGTCGCTGAAATATTCGTTGACGACGATTGTGAAGTGCTGTTTTCATTTTCAGAACTGGAAAGCGTTATAACGTTATCACGTTTCCTATTGTTTGTAACGCCCAGCGGGCTAGGTGGTATGAATATAACATCAGTTTCGCTAAAGAACCCGGCCGAAGAGTTTAAGGAGGAGGGTATCAGAGAATTTCGCGCTAAAACATTTGGTGTAGGCGGCACCAAGAATTCCGTTGACTTTTCCAGCCCATTATCATAAGCGCCCGCATCACTTAAACGTTGAGCACACTGTAGTGCTTCAAAATCTTGAGAACTTCTTTGGGAAATGATAGAAGCTTGTGTATTTTTTTCCGACTCTTTTGTTTTATCTTCTGTTGCCTTTTTAGTTTTATTCGCTGTAGTTTTTGTTGTGATTTCCCTTTCGTTTGCTTTCTTTTTTGGTTTATTTACTTTATCTATTTGTAGTGCCAAATTTTTCGTTAAATATTTACTAGAACCGCCCGCAGATCTTGTTAAACGTTGCATGCTACGTGTCTCCTTATTGTGTACACCCACCGGTGTTATTTCCAATTCTCGTTTTAAACGTATTTTTTCACTATTTACTACTTTAGTTTGAGTAGCGTTTGAAGAGCTGTTAGTTTGTGGTGTTTCTTCTAAACGCTCCTGTTTGATATGTACCTTATGATTGTCTTTAGTTTTTGTGGTAGTTTTATTGCCTTCCTTCTCTTTTTCAATTGGCCCGGTTCTGGCTTTTCTTGAAGTTAAAGGAGTTGTTGCTGTACTTGTTTCATTTGTTTCCGTACTTTGTTTATTTGCAGTTTTTGTCTTAGATTTGGTGCTCGCATTAGTATTAGTTGTATTGTTTGTATTATCTTTTGTAGCTTTCAATTGCTTTGTTGTAGTATTATTTTCTATTGCTGGCTTGTCTTTTGAATTTGATGTTTCCTTTTGTTTTTCTTCTGTAGTCTTTTGGGCTTTATTGCTTTTTGTGGGTGTTTTTGGTTCAGTTTTAATGATTGCTTTAGTATTGCTAGCAGAGCTATTGTTGTTATTCTCTTTTGTTGTTTTGGCTACTCTTTCATTGGAATTTGTTCTTCTGGCATTTATCTTCTCTGCCCGTTTTTCCTCTAATCTATCTTTAAGTCTTTTAGCTGAGCATACCTCCTCCTTGGCATGCCTCGTTAATCTTTTTGGCGTTTCGGTAATTTTTAATGTATCCACAATATCTTCATCCAGTCTATCCAACTCAGATCGTTTTTTATAACCCCTTTTTGCCACCTTGTTGGTGTTATTTGAACTTTTCTTACTATTCTCCTCTATTTGCTTATTTTCAACAGCAGCTGCATTAGCATTACTTTGTTTATTTAGCTCTTCCTGTTCTTCTCTTTCTTCGCTGGCTAAATCTACTATTTCTATATCATTATTAGGATCATGGCATATTTCTGGTTCATCATCGGCATCCGAATCGGACATTACCAATAAAGGTGACATTAAAACCGCTTCATCGGAATTATCTCGTGCAACAGGTGGCTTTTCCGTAACTATGGGAGGTGTTTCATTTATCAAAGCGACTTCATCATCTACATTATAGATAACTTCATTTTCAGCTTGTAAACTTTTCAGCATTTCTTGTTCCCTTTCCCTTAAACGTTTTTCCTCTTCCTGTTGGAACTGTAAATGTTGTTTCCTTCTTTGCCTACAATACTCTTCGAACAGTTCCTGGGTGTCTTTAATGTGTTCATCTTCACGATTGTGATTATTAACATATTCGATGCTGCTACTTTCCGAATTGGTGGTATTTTGTTTTTCACGCCATAAATCCAGATTGATTTTATAACGATCCTCTTTTACCAAAGGTAATTGCTTCTCAAATTGATGGCAATAACGTCTTAATCGAAAAGCTCTAAAAAAAAGAAATTAACTAATTTTAGTGGTTTTTCAAAAAACTATAATTATCTTTCTCTTACTTGCAGTAGTCGGCCAAACGTTCTCTTTTACAAAAATATTCCTCTAAATCCACACGTTTATAAGCCAATTCCTTGGCATCGGGTAGTTTAAATTTCTCTTCGAATGCCTTAAAGCTCGAGTATTGAGGATCTAAACGTCCCCCTAATCTCAAGCAATTGTGCAGAAGTTTTAAATCACTCTAGTTAAGAAATTATAATGATATTTACTATTTCTCTTCAAGAAAAAATCAAATGTTTACTTACTGTTATATCAACACTAGAGATCAATATACTAATTTTACGTTCATAATGTTTGAGTAGCATTGAAGTGCAAAAACTATTATTTAACATTTGGCCACGATTATCGAGTATTATGAAATCAAATTTAAATTTACTCAAATCATCTATTGTCCTCAGTGTACTCCATTTTGCAATGTATATATTATGAGCAGAATCGGTGGAATCTAAAGGAAATAAAAATTTATTTATTAGTAATATTTTATCCTACGCTCCAAAAACAAAATGTTTGTTTGAAAAGGAACACACAGAAAACTCCAGCCTTCAAAACTCTACTAAAGTAAATACGGATTAGCGATCATGATAGGATCACAACACTAGTGGTTTTTGGCACAAGACACAAAATTTTGGATGGTATTATTCTCATGTCCCTTTCATTTGTGTCAAGATGCGATCCTAATCATTGCAGTGCCTTGGTACCCAACCCAGTCTTATTGTAAACAGTCTTATAATAACACTCAAGAAAATGTTTACATTCTACGAGACAAGACATACCAATACTGTATAATGTCCAGTCATAAGTCTATTAAGAACTCTGAAACAGTAGGTTTAATGATTATTTTTCGACACAGATATTAGCTAAACAAATCTACCTTTCTCTCGATAAAGTTATACATATTCAGAATTCCAATCCTCATATAGATTGTCACGTAAACAATGAATTACCTCGCCAGATTAGCACCAACAAAAGTAGCATTTTGAGCAGCAACAGCTCTTTCAATTACCAAATACCCAAAGCAAGAGGCATACCTCAATATAAGTTTAAGAGTTTCTAACAAAATTAGTTCTTCGTATTGGATACATTCAAAACTTGGCAAGATAACAAGCTTTCCGTGAAAATTACTAACTTTGCTGATACAAAACTACCGTTTAAAACTCTTTCAATATTAAAACGGATTACATTTTCATTAATACCAGCATAAAACAAAACTGTTTAGTAGATTTTTGTTGTTATATAGTTAACTAGCTATACCCTGTGTGCTTTGCTACCCTAAAAGGAATATGTATAAATAAATACCAGATTTATTATATGTAACATATGAAAGATGTCAAGCAAATTATTGCAAGTTCGCCAGTTTCTATCTATCGCCAATTTCTATCTATCTATAAAAAATTTGAATAATATAAGAGTTTCCAATATGCACGAAATTTTGTATTTAATTCATATATGTTGTGCCAAGCCACCCATTGAAAGTCCGCCCGTTATGCTCTAAATGTTCACATGAATTTCAAAGTTCTCCATGTAAAATTTGAAGATTCTAGCTCTAATAGTTTCTCAGATATACGAATTTTTCTATTTGATTCATGTGGGGGCTTCAAGACCCCCCAGATGAAAGACCGCTTTTTTCCTCCAAAATGTTCAAATGAATATTTAAGTTCTTCGTGCAAAATTTGAAGAATTTAGTTCCATTAATTTTCCAGATAAACGAATTTTTGTCTTTAATTAATATAGGAGGTGCCGCTCCCCTCATGGGTAGTCCGCCAATTTATTACCCAAAATGTTTTGATGGAGGTTAAAGTTTTTCGTGCAAAATTTTAAGATTCTAACTGTAATAGTTTCCAAGATAACCGTATTTTTGTATTTAATTTATATGGGAGGTGCCACGTGCAAAGTTTTAAGAATTTAGTTCTATTAGTTTCCCAGATCAACGAATTTTTGTTTTTAATTAATATGGGAGGTGCCGCTCCCCTCATGGGTAGTCCCCCAATTTATTACCCAAAATGTTTACATGGATGTTAAAGTTCTTCGTGCTAAATTTTAAGAATTTAGTTATATTAGTTTCCCAGATAAACGAATTTTTGTGTCTAATTTATATGGGAGGTGCCACGCCCCCTAATGCTAGTCCGCCTACTTTTTGTCCTAAATGATCATATTGACACTAAAGTGGCTCCGAAAAAATTTGAGGACTCTAACTGTTATATTATCTCAAATATACGGATTTTATATTTTCTTAATGTGGGCGTGGCTCATCGCCCACTTCAATTTTCGAAATAAAAAGTAGCCTATTACCTATTCCAGACATGCCGGAATACGCTGTGAAAATTTCAAGAAAATCGGTTCAGCCGTTTAGTAGTCTATAACGTTCAAACATACAAACATACAAACATACAAACAAACACACATTCATTTTTATATATATAGATGCTACGCTTAAAGCTACGTTTATATTGCTAAAGTACTCTACTCTGGAGTAAATTACAACAAAATAGTCAAATTTAAAAAAATATATTTTTAATAATAAGAGAAATTGCTGGAGTTACAACAGCATTGTAAACGTAGCTCAAAGAAAAATATTCGAATATAAATAATCAAAACCTTTTTTTGCCTGAGTACCTAAGTATATAACATTGTAACCACTAACATAACGATACCAGCATAAAATATTTATCACTGGAATAACAATAAAACAAATGATAAACTTATGATAAGAAAAAAACCGCAAATATTTTAAAATACTAATTATGAATATTCGATGTCTGACCTTAAAGCTGAAATACTTAAATATTTCACACTTTCACAAAAACGGTGTTTTTTTAAATTTCATGATACGATATATAGAGGTATTGTATTCTGAGGCCAGATTCGGATTCTATAGAAATGTATATTTTGGTCCCTGGGTTAAATATTTGTTGGCCTGTGTTATCTAACAGAATCCTGCATTCTCTAAATTTTTTGAATAATGCGACAAAAAAGCGAGACAAATCTTATGAGGATTTTGATACTTAGAATCTAACGTAACAGTTATGCTTAGTTTAGCTAAATCCTCTTCTGGGGATTTTAAAGTAATCATCACAAAACGCATACATTCATCCACATTTTAATAATACAATTTAATATGCCAACATTTATAGATTTCTAAAATAAGACCAGATTTTATATAAACATTACTCACCTTTTTCATCTTTTATAACCGTAACATTGGTATTTGTTAAAACATTAAAGTGAAACTCCCAACCATTAACATAACGGTCATCGTTTTGGACAACAATTAAACATTTCTTACTACTACAAGCTGCATCCAACAGAACGGCTACAGCGGCCTGTTTACCCAAGCCACTTTCATCGTTGTAAACACAAAATTCTCCTTTTGCCAAAAAGTTGTGCATAAAACGTATGGCATCCAATTGGAAATCCTTAAGATATTGACGTATGTGACCGGGTATTAAAGCACGAAATGAAAGTCTTACGGGCTCAGGGGGATGGTCTGCCGTGAAATGATACATGTTGCTTGTTCTTCAATATTTCCCACAGTAATCTTTAATGACAGTAGTGCTACTGTTCTCTTCTCTTAGTCTCAGTGTACGTAGTGTAAGGATAAATAAATTGCCACCAAAATATAAAGTAATTTTAAATAGAAAAATATTACAAACATGGAAAAGGAACCAATGAGCAAAGATGATGGAGTATCAATATTTTCTTGATTTATACGTAAATTTGTATAAAACGGCATGTGTGCACTTGTTTTGTTTTCACTTTTTTCGATTTGTTTTAATATATTTTTAGTTATTTGCAATTTGTTTTTAAAAATAAATAATATTTTGATTTTATTTTTATTTAAATAAATTTTAATTTTTAATTTTATTTGGGTCAATGAAGAAGTTTATGAAAAAATCAAACGTAGACGTTCTTTTTTTGTTACGTGTTGTTTTTGTTTTCTGTTTTGCTGCTGCTTTTGTCTCTGCTTGATTTTCTTGTTTTGTTGTTGTTTTTATTTTCATATGATTTGAAACTTTAATAAATATGTATGCATGTAGGTATGTATTATTGTCGCTCTTTTGTAGTTACAACGTGATAATACCCGCCGACAAGCTCTTTCTTCGTGGGGTACACTCAAAAAATATTAGAAAATTTTCTATAGTACAAATTCCCGCCATTTTTCTTTTTTTACTTTTTGTGGTTCATGACATTTTTTATTTACTATTGCGTTTTATTTTCAATATTTACTTTAATTAAACACTTTTATTTAAACAGATTTTAATTTTCATAATGTTGTGAAATGTAAATCAAGTTGTTTTATATATTTCTATAATATTTTTATAAATTTTTATTTGAGTGCAATAAACTTTTCTAAAAAAAATCCACTTGATGAAAGCAAAACAAAAAACGTACTAAAAAAACAAACAGGGTTGATGGTTGATGGATTATATTTTACAAAGTTGCAGAAAAAGGTACGCATGGGAAGAAGTACATAATGAATTTATTAAAATGTTCTTTAAATAGATAATTTTTTGAAAATTATCCATATGTATAGAACACAAAAATATTGCATTAATTATCTATTATAAAGTTTGTACAAGTAGAGAATTAAACGAATTTTCATATCTTTTGGCACCAGTGCAGTAATATGGCAGCTTCTTCAAAAATAACACTTCTGGCAACACCTTGTTAAATAGGAACAGTTAGAAACACTTGAGAATAGTTTAGTTAATAAACAAAATAAGCGAAGAAACTTGTAGAAATTGTAGAATTTTAGTTATTTTATTAATAAAAAATGGAATACGCACGTTCAGATTGTATATTAAGAGAAATCCTCGAGGAACGCAAATCATTAACCGGATTTCTGGATGCAGTATTTGGTTTTATGAGCAGAAAGTAAGTTTGGAATACAAAAATGTTGTTGGAATTTAAAATAACATTTCCTTTTATTTTAGCACAGACTTTTTTCATATACAAAAAACAAAAGATGATAAAATAGGCTTCCCCAGAGGCGTTAAGGAACAAATTTTAATGAGTTGTATGCAAAAATATGAACACAAAATGGAAGAACCAAAACTGACAAGGGATCTAATAGTAGACGTACCCCAAGTGGTAGCAGAAGAAGTGGAAGTTATGTCGGAGGAAATTAATGAGGAAAACTTAAACAATACAGATTCGGAAGTGGAGTCAGATAAACAGAATGATATTGAAATGTTAGAATCAACTAATAAAAATGAAAGTTCGGCAAATACTATAAAGTTTAATGAGGATGACTACAAAAATGGTTCACTATTTGAAAACTATTGTTGGTCACAGACTTTAAAAGATGTAGAACTACAGGTGCTCTTACCTAAGGAAGTAAAAATGGCTAAACATGTTAAAGTACAATTGAAAACAAATAAAATAACACTGAAAACCTTACTGCCCAAAGAAGAAACTTTAATTGATGCTGAAACTTGGGATAAATACAGACACAATGAGGTACTTTGGAGCATAACGGATGGGAAACTGGTTATAAATTTTGGTAGGATGTTTTTTTTATAAAAAAAAGGAATGTTCACTAACTAATTAACTATATTATTACAGATAAACTTAAGGAATGTTGGTGGGATAAGTTATTTTTAAGTGATACAGCGGCCATTGATATTAAAGCAGTTGATACTGAACGTCCTTTGAATGATTATTCGCCGGATACTCAAAATGAAATAGAAAAGTTACATTTACAGCAACAGTCGGAACAAACACATGACTTAAAAACTTTGCCCTTAAGCGAAAGTGAACAAATGGCTCGTTTACGACAAGCTTGGAATGCTGAGGGATCACCTTTTAAGGGACAACCGTTTGATCCATCAGTAGTTAAGTTTAATTAAAGTTTCAAGAATTTGTAAATACATAATAAAAGATTTGTTGTAATTAAAAATAAAATTTTCGAAAATTTTTATTAAACATAGAATTTTTTGGAAAATTATCTAATAATAGAGATTTTTTGGAAAAACATTAAAATGAATTTTACAATTTTTTGTAAAATTTTCTAAAAATAAAGAAAAAAGGAAAATTAATAGAGGTTTTTGGGTAATTTTATAAAAAAAAAAATATAAAATTTTAAAAAATTAAGAAAAAAAATTATTTTTCGGACAATTTTCTAAAAGAGATTTCTGGAAAATATTTCAAAATAGAAAATTTTTGAGAATTTCTGTAAAATAAATAAAAATAAATCTTTTTAGGAAAAATGTTTATGACTTTTACATATTCTTTTCTTTATTTTAAAATGATTAGCTTCTTTAAATTACATTTGATTGATTGTAAATTGTGTAGGAATTTATTTATGATCAATGCAATACAATTTAATTGTCCTATGGTTATTTTAGTTTATTATCTTTTTAAATAATTTAGTTCATAATTTTTTTTTTTTTTATAATTATTCATTTTGTGTTGAAAGAATCATTGTAAAGTAGAAATTTGTAACCGCTTATGGCCTATAGGCTAGGTTATTGAATATTGTTAAATAAAATAAATAAAAAATAACGTTTTGTTATAAATATATAAGCAAATCTAGGATTGAATTGTATTGTTATTTAATTCTTTTGAGACAATTATTTTAAAATAAGTTTTACATTAACTGAAAATCTGAGATTTTACTAAATTTTTATAAAATAATTTAAATAATTGTTTTATTTATTTATTCATTTGTTTTGTAATTTTATTAGTTTAGTTAATTTCAGAATATTTGCTCTTATATATTGGCATCTCTAAATATTGCCAACTACCCGAACTTGGCATTACTTTTATGTAAATATTGCCACTTGTTGGAATAAAGTGTTGCCATACTGCCTAATCACCGCTTGACAACTTTGACAGCCGTTTTTCTTCCTCCTTTTCTTTCTTTCTTTTTTAGCAGGCTTTTTGGTAGGTGTTGTGTGTTAAAATTAAATCTTTAAAAATATGAAAATTATAAAGCCATCTATAAAATTTAAATGAAAAATGTGAAAAAACACAATGTTATTAAAAGTGCAACGTTAATATTTTGTGAATTTTCACGAAAACTTTTAGAAAAAATGTTCCAAAAAAATACTTGTAAACAAAAAGTTTGAAATGTACAGAAATGGCTCTTATAAATGAATTCCAGCAATGAAATTGTCTTTTTATGTGTCCTATTCAACAGTACAAACATTTAATGTTTTCCTTTTCTATTGTGACTTATTTTAGAAAACTAAAGCCACACAATGGGTCGTGTTATTCGTGCACAACGTAAAGGTGCTGGGTCCGTCTTCAAGGCCCACGTACATCACCGCAAAGGCGCTGCTAAATTGAGATCTTTGGATTTCTCTGAACGTAATGGCTACATTCGCGGTGTTGTCAAGGTAGGTTTTAATTTGACAATTGTTATTTACTATGTCAAGGTGTGGGTTGCTAACAAGTTTTGTTTTTGTTTATATTTTAGGAAATCATCCACGATCCCGGCCGTGGTGCTCCCTTGGCTGTAGTCCACTTCCGTGACCCTTACCGCTACAAGATCCGCAAGGAACTCTTCATTGCCCCCGAAGGTATGCACACCGGTCAATTCGTCTACTGCGGCCGTAAAGCTACCCTCCAAATCGGTAATGTTATGCCCGTATCTCAAATGCCTGAAGGTACCATCATCTGCAACTTGGAAGAGAAGACCGGTGATCGGGGCCGTTTGGCTCGTACCTCTGGTAACTACGCTACCGTCATTGCCCACAACCCCGACACCAAGAAGACCCGTGTCAAGTTTGCCCTCTGGCGCCAAGAAAGTTGTCCCCTCCGCTAACCGTGCTATGGTCGGTATCGTAGCTGGTGGTGGTCGTATCGACAAACCCATCTTGAAGGCCGGTCGTGCCTACCACAAATACAAGGTCAAGCGTAACAGCTGGCCTAAGGTACGTGGTGTTGCTATGAACCCCCGTTGAACATCCCCACGGTGGTGGTAACCATCAACATATTGGGTAAGGCTTCCACAGTTAAGCGTGGTACCTCTGCTGGTCGTAAGGTCGGTCTTATTGCTGCCCGTCGTACTGGTAGAATTCGTGGTGGCAAGGGTGATTCCAAGGATAAATAGATTGCTAAGTAATTTTATACAAATATCAATTGATTTGATATCAAAGATTAACAACAACAATAATGACATCTTTGTTTACTGGTGTTTTATGCTATCAGTAGAGTTGATAAGAATTAAGTTTTATGTTAAAATAAAGATGATAAATGAATTACAACAATTCTTTTCCTAAAAAAATGTTTTCAAATATTTTATTTAAACTTTACCTTTAAGAAATTTTAGTAAATAGATAAAATTATTTCCCTATTCGTTTTGGATCTTGAAAATTCCATTTTCGGTCTCTATATTTTTCTTTTATATGTCGCCAGTAGCAATATTTGATTTGGTTTTACAATTACGGCTGTTAGCATACTCCGGGCAAATATGTCCGGTTAAAATAGAAAATCATTAAAGTTAATGGTTAGAAAAAAATACTCTAGTTCCTGGACTCCAATATTTTTAAAACTTAGACGGGTTTGTATTATTATTAAGTTCAAAACTTAATTTAAGTAATATTTGAATACAAAGCAAATAAAAGTATTCGAAAGCGGTTTTTAAAAAGTAAAAAACCGGGTTATTCGATATTCGAAAAATCAACATTTAGAAATGACCGACACAAGTTTCTGCTTTAAACTAACACCGGTTGAAACCCCGAGTCGATCGCCCTAAGACATATGTATGTACACGACAACATATTCGTGTTTTGTAACGATGTCGTTATTAAGTGGTTTTCGGGAGTTGCCTTTATAGAGGAGCTATGAGGTCTATCTAGAAAAATGTTTACAGACTAATTTGTATAAATACGAAACATATTCGAGTATAATTTTATCAAGACATCGTTATGTATTAAGTAATGAGCTATTTACGATTAATTGATTTTCGCAAGCAGACTTTATGTGAAGGTACGATCAATTATATATCGATCCGGGAAAACTCGATTTGGTTATTTATTAACAAATGATTCTTTTAATTGGTTTTCGGAATCGGACCTTATATGGGACCTATGGGTAATTGTGTATCGATACAGATTTAAGTTGGTAATATGATTTCTATTGATATTAAATTTATAAGTGCAAACTTTTGTGGTAAAACCGATATTCTAGAGGGAGTTATTAACAAACAATAAATTCTTTTTATGAGAGTTATTGCCTAGACAAAATCCTTGTTACAAAATTTGTTAAAATATCTACTATACTTTCTAAAAAACTAATCATGAAAAAAAGTAATATTCACATGGGTAATTTCAGAATTTTCCTCACGAAATTTATTTCATTACAAAGTGACCTACTCTATTCATACTAAAAAATACAACCTTACCGAAGTGAGTACTCTGCCATAAAAAGTAATCGGTAAT